TTTTGAAGAAAATTCTTTTTTTTTTTATTTTTTATTTTTTTTTTTTTTTTTTTTTTTTTTTTTTTTACTGCGGTGCTGGAGGACCAGCACGGGGAACGGGAGCGTTCCCGGGGCTCGGGGACTGGCACCGGGGAGCAGTGTCGGGCTTGCGGGAGGCGATGGTGAGGGAGCAGGAGGTTTCTCCTGGGTGGCTGCAGCCTGGGGGGACAGGCTGGGTTTGGTGGGTGGCTTCACTGGGCATTGCCTGCGTTTCCCCGTGCTGAGCATCCTCCTGCTGCGCAGGAGAGCGGGTGCTTGCCTTCCAGAGCCAAAGCAGCTTGTTGTGCTGGGGAGCTGGCTGGGGTCCCGGCTCCTCCAGTCCCTCCACCCAGGTGTGGGCAAGGTGGAGGTGAGTGGACAACACAAATACACACACACACAAAAAGGGATCAAAAATCATGATCATTTTGGAAAACAGAGAAACCTGTTTCCAGGGAGGCTGAGGTTGATCTGCCGTGTATTTTGACCATTTATGGGGTTCTTGTGGGTCTCTTTAAAAGCTGTTTCACTCTGCTATTCAATAAAAAGCATATTTACCATAGCAACCACTTAGGCTGTGAGGAACATATACTACCTCTGAGATGGAGGCCACCTTCCAAAAGAGCCACAGCTGGCATTTGTAATGTGATCTTTTGTGCTACTTACAATGTTGGAGGGAGAGGAGGCGGCGGAGGGAGTGAGGGGGGCGAGCAGCGGGGTTTTGGGAGGGAGGGGGGGGGAAGTTCTACAAGGTTTAATGTTTATTTCTAGCAGCAAACTGTTTTGCCTTGTTCTGTTAAAGTAAATAAATAAGGGGCAGCTTTTTCCTCCCTTTTCCCTGGCACCTGCCCCAGGCCACATTCATTCTGTGGAGTAAAAATGGTCTTATTTTTGGTAAATAAAGTTAGAGTGGGTAATGGCATTCAACCGGCTGCAGATGCCGGTTGGCCTGGGATGTGTCAGGTTCCTCTGGTGTCCCCGTTTGTCGCCTCTGTGCCTGCCCACAGCACCTGGGACCTGGCCGCTCTTGCACGAGGCTCTATACCCGCTTCTGCATACTTGCAAACGCAATTAATCTTTTTATGGAACAATGAGAGGTATTTCACGGGCAAGCTGAAGTTTCTGTGCAAGCGTAACGTGTAACGTATAGGGATAGAAACTGGTTCTCCACCCACGTTGCCGTGTCTTGTCTACCTGCCAAAGGTACCCATGCCAGTTTTTCTTCTTGAAATCGGTTGTGCTGCCCTGAAGATCTGTAGGAAAATGCTAACACCTGCAAATCATTTCTTATCTTTCCCCGATCTCCGAAATCAGGATTTGAGACTAATCTTTATAGCTGGATTACACAGACAGGAAAGGAGAGTGTGGGGGGTTTCTTCTTCTTCTTTTTCCTTTTTTTACCCTCCTTTTTTGTTTCTATTTTTCTTTCCCCCTCTTCCTTTTTCCTTTCCTTTTTTTTTGTTTTTTTTTTTTCTTTTTTTTCTATTTTAACATTCTTGCTTCTCAGTGTTTCGCTGTGACTACCACGAGCTCTGTGTCAGGGCTGCAGCCTTTACGCCCAGCTCCGATGAAACTCCCCTTGGCTTCAGCGCGGGATTTTAGCTTAATGACTCAAGGCTGCAGAACATGGCCGTCTGTAATGTCTTAAGTAAAGTCTGTACTATTTGTCAGCCGTCCTCCTTTCAGATTTGTTTAAGAACATTAAGTTAAGACTACAAAAATCGAAGCAAAAAGACCAGCATGAATAATTTGGCTGGATTGCCCCCAGTGCTGTGGGCTGGGTTAATACTGCTTTTCATGGTGCTTGAGAGAGTCTCCGAGGCCCATAATGAGAAACAGAATATTAAACTGAAATTATGTTCAGCATGTCTTGAGGAAGGTACAGCATGAGGCTCCATTTAAGACCAATGCATTTATTTGCATTTAGGTGCTTTGCTCGTCTTGTAAGACTCTTGCATCTTGCTCTGGCACAGTCATGCTGCTTATCCGTGTCCAAAGGTGAAAGAAAACTGGGGGAAAAATTGTTTTAATAGTACGCTATTAAGCTTGCTAGGTCAAAATTTTGCATTCAGCCTGCGGATAGCACTATTATGAGGCTGGGATTTTTTTTAAAGGCTTTTTATGGTTATTTCCCCTCTTTTTTTTTTCTGACCTGTGATTTCAGTTAAGGTGTTAGGACTTTGTAAAACAGTTTTAGCAGGAAGTTTTTGGGTGTAAAGCAGACCCTCAGCTGGGTGCCTTGCATGCTTCTCTAGGCAGGTAGGGTGCTGGTTGTCTTAATGTCATGTTCAACGTGCACCTGATCTGTTCCACGCACGTGCTGGCAGCGTGGTGTTAGGGATGAGATCTGGGCTCCCCAGGAGTGGGATTCCCACAGGAGGATTTTCTGTGGTGGTGTGGAGAGGCAAGTGAAAATGAGCTTGGTATGTCTGCGCAAGGATCTCCAAAATCTGCTCACCACAGAAAGCAAGTTCCTTGACAACCTTTGTTATCTACGCATGCATTCCTACAACCTTAAGGAGAAAAACAGTGCTGTTCTTCCCTGTTCTCTGCAAAGTCAATGCTCTGACTCAGCCATGCCCTGTTTTGGGCAGGAGTATGGGTGAAAGACCAGTCCTGGGATCCCACCTCCTGCTCTCTGGGCTGTACCAAGACGTGCTTTTAGTTTCCTTTCTACCAGGCAAAAACGTTCTGAACCCAAAATGGTGGTGGTTTAGTACAGTATATTTCTTACAAAACAGTTAAAGGTTTAAAAAAAAAAAAATCCTGCATTTTCTTCTGTAGGGGGAGGCCTTTTGAAGTAAATGTAAATGTTACCTTGGGGGACGACTTCTAGTACTATTTGGCCTGGGCTTTCTAATATGTAATGAACACAGCCATAAAGTAGACTGAATGCCCAAGAACAAAGAATCACTGTGCAGTAGTGTATCTCATTTTTTTCTTCTTTTTTTTTTTTGGCTTAAGGAGGTAAAAATGTGTTTTTAAAACATAATATGACAAGCAAAACTGAAGGCCAAACCATCTGAAACAAACTCTCTGTTCTCAGCCTCTTCAGCGTGCATGGACAGCAAGTGTCGGGGACCGCTGGGCAGTTTGGAGGGGTCAGGAGTTATTTCCCAGAGCGGTTTGAGTTGAAGATGTGCAGTCTGCTCTGCCCGGTCCCTAATTTCTTTCAGTTTTGTGTGGTTTGCACTTAACACACTTGGAGAGAGAAGACAAATATCTACGAGTAATCATGAGCTTTATCTTAGCTAGATTTTAAAATTTCACCAACAGTGTCCCTTCAAACAGCGGGGTGCATCCC